TCATTTCATTCACAGTCATTCGTCTGAAATGACGGAATCTTTCACTCATTTTCATTCAAATCACGGGAAATTCATTTTCATTCTCTATTATAATCAGTCACATGCATGAAAGTGAACATGTTTGCATTCAATGGAATGATAAGCGCCACGTGATTCCTAATTTTTGGCCTGATTTTTTTTTATATAACTCGCTCCACAATCCCGGTTTAGCTTGAAAAAAGGTTCCCTTCTGAGCAAAAATATGTGTATGTAGTATTTCGCATGAAAAATAAACAGGTTGCATATCCCGTTCCATGACCCATTTTGAGATTGAGATTTATGAGGAAGACGTACATAGATTTGCATATACCACGAAATTATGGCCAGGATGATCTCTCGTATAATGACGTAAATAAAATAATATGCGGGGTCTTATTTACGATGCGATGGTTAAACTGGTCCTGAGCTCTTTTCATGGGAAATCCTGTTATTTGATATTTATTACACACGCGTGCAGCTTCTTCCTGTCGGCCTACATGCGTACCACCAACGCAGAAAATTAAATTACGGAGAAATTTAAACAATTATTTTTGTGAAATAAAAACCCAACCGCGGAAGCCAGTGAAAAGCATGAATCGAATTTTATTTTCATGCATGTATACTTATAAATGTGTTTACAGTGGCGGCGGAAGCGTGTGGACAATGTCCCCACAGTTATTCTATTTCTGAAGTATCTACCCAATTTAGTGCCTCCGTTCCCTTATCGTAGAATGTTAATGTCCCCACGGCTTCCGCGGCCGTTGTATATTTAAACATAGTGCTAGTAAACTTTTACTGCGGTTACATGGTAAATAGTTAGCATATGACATTTAATATTCTTTCAGTAACCAATACTTGCTCCTCTTTCCCATTAAGATTTGAGATTGCTTTGCAATATTCCCCATGCACTGAAAGAGTAGGCAACACTTATCCAGTGGCCGCGGAAGTGTGCGAACAAAGGGACAATGTCCCCACGGTTGTTCTATGTCCCCATCGTCTGACTATGTTATACAAACCCGTCCCTTCCCTATTCTACAATGACAATGTCCCCACACCTTCCGCGGCCACTTCCCCTCTCTATCGTAACCCTTTAATATTGTGCTTACCTTGCAGAAAGTGAAAGTAGATTTTTTTTTGCAGTGCGGTAATATAATGTCAAACTACTGGGTCTTCCAATAACAATGGGATGACCATGTGGCGTACTTTTGCGGTCGGTCGCCGTGTAATAATGCGTGGTTGGTGCTGAAAGTAAGCCAAAGTAAAAGTTATACTGGAAGAACTTGGTTGTGGAGATATTGGAATATTTCATATTTAATGATCTCCATTCAACCTTGTACACATGAGATTCGAGACCTTTCATACTTTCCATTAAGCTGATATGCGAGAAATAGAGGAGGAAATGTGAAGTGAAAGCTTCATATTTCTTTCTTGACCACAGCCGATTTTTGCAATTTGGCACGACCTTGTTTCTTTCATGGTTAATAATAATACTATCTTTACTTGGGGTGGTTGGTTGTGGTTGAATGGATGGATTGACAGTGCCCGCGGAAGGGTGAACACAGGGATAATGTCCCCATCATTATTTGATGTTGGAATGATCTATCCGTGTTATATAAACCCCGGTCTCCCCTATCCGACAATAATACCTGTTCACTTTCATTCATTTGACTAATTATGATAGTGAATGAAAATGAAGTTCCCCTCATTTGATTGAAAATGACTGAATGATTCCGTCATTTCAGAGGAGTGACTGTGAATTACAAGATTTTTTACTCATTTAATTTTTCACCCTATGCGGCGAAGTGATAAATGAAGTTTCATGAAGAAATGAGTTTGAAAAAAAAATGAATGAATGTGAATAAAAATCTTCAATCAGAAATCGGGATGACTGATATTTGAATGAAAATTAAATTTTTGATCATATGCCTACAATGTTAATGTCCTCACTTGTCCCCACGGTTTCCGCGGCCACTGGTGGAAGGACGGAGTCAAGATTTGGGGTGGGACCAGATTCGAAAATGTAAATGACTCGAATAACTATCTATTTTTCGGTGCACCAATTTTATTTTATTTTATTTCCTGACATGTATCGATATTAAAATTAACATATGTACACATCCATGTTTTGCACAAGATAAGCAACCAAGCAGCAAATAGTTGGTCCCACTAAAGTGGCCATTATCCCGCTGCCAAATTTGTGAGGTTGTTAGGTAATACGTTATGCATGCATGCCAAATAGTCCCAACCAACACAGCGGGCAGGGCACTCTTATCACTAGCGCCACTAGATATCCATCCACCCACCCATCCACCATCTCCAATCCACCACCCACAGTCATTCGCAATCTCGACAGAAGAAGTAAAAACGGAAATAAAAAAGAAAGTGAAACTGAGCTGTAGCCAAAACCGAGTGTTGTTGGTTATAAACGCTGCTGCTGTCGGGGTGGGTTTACTCTAGTTAGCAGAACCAAACGCTCTCGTCTTTGGGAGGACTCGACTCCAATGAAAGAATCCGTTTGTGGAGGAGGGGGGAAGGGTTTCGGGGGGAAGGAACAATGTGCAAGAAATAGGGGGGAGAGAAAGTGGTTTCTTGCAGGAAGATAGGTTGGCCTGCGAGAAATGCATGGCTCAAGAAAGAACGCCCCATCGTTATGAATACTTCACACTGCACGTGGCTGGATGGCGCATATTTCTTGCACATTCTCCCAGTTTCTTGCACTTTGCATTTCTTGCCTTTCTTGCTTTCCAGTGCAAGAAATGTAGCAATCCCGGCAATAACAAAACAATGGGTGAAAGTTGTCGCTGCTGACCAAGTGCTTCGGGTGAAAGTGACAGGCAGTGGTGGCCGAGTGGTCATCACACTGTGCTTCAAGCCGAATGGAGGTTCTGGGTTCAATTCCCAGTACTGGCAGAGAGTTTTTTCCCTTGTGGTTTTCCTCTTTGACTTGTTGCACAGGTCTGTGCGGTGTCCATTGCACTACGGGCACCATAGTTAGGAACCTGTGACCATCTATTTCTCACTTATGTGAGGTTTGGTTCACTTGTAATTCAAATGTAATGGCTAAAATTGGGAATCAATAAAGACGACCTTTTTTTTAAAAAAAAGTAACCACGTGCAAGAAATAACGGAGAGAAAGTGATTTCTTGCAGGGAAATATTTTGACCTGCAAGAAATGCAAGGCTCGAGGAACTACGCCCCCACCGCTATACTTCATACGGCGCGTGGCTAGATGGCGCATATTTCTTGCACTTTCTCCCAGTTTCTTGCACCTCGCATTTCTTCCTTCGCACTGCAAGAAATGTGTCAAACCCGGAAGAACTGAAACCCTGGAGGAGATAGTCGCAGTGATCTATGAGTACGTTTTCGTGGTACTACATATAATACGGAATGGGGAAAAAAATCAGAGTAACTTTCACGGCTGTCACTTTACTTTCCCCACACACGCGAGGAGAGAGAGGAGTGATCTCATGGTCTCATATTATTGTGTTTCTTTTACTTTTTGTCACTCCAACATGAGACATTTTTCATAGCATTCGCTTTATTTCAGGGTTGGAAATAGGATCTGATATATTAGTAAATAGTGGGCTTGGGGAAGATGAGATGTAAGATTTTTGGGTACTTGAAATGGAGATCTTTCAGCGTATGCTCTCCGATTTTGGGCAAATTAGTGCAGGTCGATGACAAATTTAATTTGTGTGAAATTTGCGAAAGACACGATCTTCCAATGGGCACGTTTGGCAGAGATATTTGCATCCGAAGAGGAGAAAACGCGTCTTAAATTTGACAAATTGTACGTTTTCCAAATTTACTGCACGATTTCTCCTCTTCGGATGCAAATATCTCTGCCAAACGTGCCCATTGGTAGATCGTGTCTTTCACAAATTTCATACTAATTAAATTTGCCATCGATTTATACTGATTTTTACCAAAATCGGAGAGCATCCGCTGGGAGAACTCCATTGTTAAATTAGCAGATTTTTTCATAAGGAGTGTAAAAATGTAATCTTTCTCTTTTGAATAACTTAGACTTTGTACATTTGTTGAGCATACATATTTATTTTAGCATGAATTTCATCTCCAGTAGATCTACCATTTAAACTGGCTCGTTTCACTCATGTTTAGACAACAATTACACAAATTGAAAGAGAATTGATGCCAAAGTAGTGGGACCAAGCAACCACCAAACAATCAAAAAGTGGGTTTGAACCACATCTCCCAACTCATCTCGCGTCCATTACGGACGGAGTGGATGAGTTTGAAGAGAATTGTGGTGAAAGCGGAAGTGATGAGGCTGCTAATGATGGCTCTTATCTCCCTCTCGAAACACTTTCTCCCTCTCAACGTCTCAAGCACTTGAAGACAACTCCCAAAACTCGGCATTTTTTCACTTTCACTCTTTCCTGGAAATGTTTGCTTGGACATTTTTACACAAAAATAAAAGGAAATCGGTCTGATTTTTAGGGGACTGACGGATTTCTGGGGGAGAATACGTACACTGTTAAAAATGTGGTAGAGTTAGATACTGGAATTCATTTGGTAATAACCTGCTACCCGATTGGTAGTAGTTTGTCGCTGAGTGGCAAATTTGTCATTAACACGACATTACTAAATGGTAAAGCCTGTTATTACCGGGCCGGTAGAGGCATAAAATGTATGTACTCCGGTCAGTAAAGATTTAATACCGGTTTTCTAAGAGTATAAATATGTACATATTTAATGTATGCAGTGGCCGCGGAAACTGTGGGGACATTAACATTACAAGGGGGGAGGGGTTTGGTTTATATAAGATGGACAGATGATGGGGACATTGTCACTCCGTCCCCACGCTTCCGCGGCCACTGAATATATGCACCCACTAACCTTGCACCTTTATTTTTCACGTGCGCAATCTAATCACAAGGGCATGATAAGTAGTAAATACACTATAATCTGTCTGGTATTGATACCAAGTTTAGATTAGTGCAGATAAGTACATATCTGTTGGTTGATAACCTGTCTAAAATTGTGCGCGATTTAAATACTAATATATTTACATATGTAGTTAAATAAATATTTAAATTTTAAGTTGAAGGATAAAATGTATCATTAATGGGGACCCTCGTCCCTTTTAGTCGGCGGTCACGGGTGGAGCAGGTAATATTTTTAAGGGAGGTTCACCTGCGGAAAGCTAGGCTTCATTCTGCGACAGATTTGTCCGTCCTCTTCGCCTTGTTTGCTATGGTATGGGCATATTTACATATTTATTAAGCATATGATAAGGCGTAAGTTATTAAGTTATCTAGATTTTTTGGTTAATTTGTTTAAGCTGGGCGCAGTCGATCTCAACATTAACACTGATAATGACACCGTCTTTGTTTTTGCGTACGTAATCACAACGGCTCTTCTTGTATCAAACACCGTTCTGGTGAAGGTCGGGCTCTTATGGATGGTTCCTGGTAAGTAAATACATGTGCAAATATTGCTAAAATTTGACATTAATCTGTAAAAAAAATGGTTGAGTCAGATATATACCCCGTATTGGGATTGATTTGGTAATAACTTTCTACCAGATTGGTTGTAGTTTGTTAGGCAAATTTTGTATCACCACAAAACTGGTAGATGGTAATGCTCGTTATTACCGTGCCGGTAGAGTCATACATATATAAATACTTCGGTCAGTAATGATTTAATACTAGTTAATCTACTTCCTTCCGGATTAGTAGTAGTTTGTTACTCCGTGGTAATTTTTTTTTTTAAATTACCACAACATTACTAAACGGTAATGCCTGTTATTACCAGTCCGGATGGAGTACATACTCCGGTAGGTAATGATTTAATACCAGTTTTCTAAGAGTACAGATACATAAATTTCAGTGTACAATTTTTTCTTTCTTAAATTTTAGGATTGGATAGTGCCCTTTTATTGGGACGATTTGACCCTGATGAGTACGACCACGTCCTTCCGCTCTTCTTGTTGTGGGACTGGCTTTGGATTCTGGCCTCGACGGGTGGATTTTTCTTGTTCGTGATGCAATTCATTTTCATAATTTGGATCAAGTTCCCCACCCATTCCGTCGCACCGACGGTCATAATGTCACCCGTCCTACTAATCGTTCTAGTCTCACTTATCCATTCGGTTAGAAGGCTTGGAAAACCGATCGTAAATGTGGAAAAGGTAGAGAGAGAATTGGACCATTTACATGGGGTTTAAAGTTGTAAAATAAAATAAATTAGCGAGATTTTGTACATTGTTAGATTGAAAATATGGAAAACATTTACAGCGTTAATAAATACGCCTATATATGAAGTATACATGCAGTGGAATTATTTGAGCGGGTCATCTCATTTGCATATTTTGGAGCACTAGCGAGAGAGAGATTTTATTCGATATTGAAACTCCATATTGCCAGAAAAAGGGCATAGTGAGATTTATGCAAATGAGGTGACACGCATAAATAATTCCTCTGTACGTAAAATGTTTCGTTTCTTACGACGGTTTTGTTAATTTCTTTAACTGTAAGGCAAGAAAGGGCAAGAAACTGGGAGAAAGTGCAAGAAATATTCGCCATCCAGCCACGCACTATGTATGAAGTATAGAGGCGGGAACGAGTTTCTAGCGTCTTGCATTTCTTGCAGGTCAAAATAGCCGAAAAAACACTTGATTGCGGGTTTGCTACATTTGTTGCACTGCAAAGCAAGCCACCCAAGAAATGCGAGGTGCAAGAAACTGGGAGAAAGTGCAAGAAATATTCGCCATCTAGCCGCGCGCCGTATGAAGTATAGCGGCGGGGTGTAGTTTCTTGCGCCTTGCATTTCTTGCAGGTCAAATTAACTGCAATAAACCACTTTATTGCTCTTAATTTTTGGAAATCGTTATATACTTTCACCGGGAACATTTCATTTGTACATACGTAACAAGACGCATATTTTCAGAACCTTTTGAATATCTCCGTCGTATATGAGATGTCTTGGTGGGTCGGCAGATTTCATTTCATTTTCATGCAAATTGACGTGCAGGACGGTTACTGGGAGGAAGAAAGTAGACCAAGCAAGACGTTGAAATTACTCTGGGGATAATCGAGCAAATTGGGTTATTTTGCGTTACAGAGTTTAAAGTGGATGGAAACCATAAAACATGAATTCTTCCATCCAGTTATGCGCAATTTCCTTGTTCATTTGCTGCCACACGTGACGCATCGCTTTATCTGAAGAACGAAATGAAATAGTATGCTTATCTATCATTGAGTGAAAGCATGTTGATCTGTGGTTTGGTTGGATGCTGCTGCATGGTCAGTTTTTTTGTTCTGGGCTCTGAAACTAAATTAACTTTCTGGTCAACGGCGCCCGCGACTCGACTTGAGCGAATAAGAGAGATAACTGAAGATGGGAACGCAAACCGTGTTCAACCCCGATTATTTTTTGACCATGTTGGTTTAAAAGAGCAACTCTTTAGAATTAGCAATAAGTGCGAAAACGTAAGCAAATGTGCAAAATTATGAGCCTTCTTGTACGCCCCGCAAAGTTCGCGAAAACGCTCGATTTTCAAGCGCAATCTGTGCCTTGATCGGTGAGGTGATCAGAGTTATTCGGATTGATTCCTCGCGAAATCGAACAGTTTTCGCAAACTTGCAGAATTTTGCGCATCTGCTCAAGTTTGTAAATATTGTTTCTGAAGGGTTATCCTTTTGAATTGACCTGGTCAAAAAATAATCTGGCCTGAACATGGTTTGCGTCCCCACAGCTTGTGAGCATCCATCCTTCCCAAGTTCAGCATATGAATACTAATTAATCTTGTAGAGGGGGAAATGGGGTAACTTATTGCCACATACCAAGCACACTCACTACTAGTTAATCTTCTCCACCAAGGATACGTCCCGGTCGAATGGATGGAGGAGAAAGTGGAGGAACTATCTCAACTAACTTTCTACTAGACACACTTGATTACATTATTACAACTCATACATATCGTGCCAAGCATTTGTGCATGGCTTAGCTTACTCGAGATACAGTGGCCGCGGAAGCCGTGGGGACATTAACATTGTAGGATAGGGGAGGGAGGGGTTTGTATAAGATGGGGAGATGATGGGGACATCGAATAACCGTGGGGACATTGTCCCTCTGTCCACACCCTTCCGCGGCCACTGCTCGAGAAGTTAACCCAGGAGGAGCAACTACTTTATGGAGATGCATAAGTTTACATTATATTTTATATGGACGCGGCGGCGACGTTGATTAGCTTCTTTGGTGGTGCGATATATGGAATATGTACGGGGTAAGTGGGAGGGATCACTTTTCAGGAATCGGATTTTCAAGTGCTACTCGTATAGTAAAGTTTTCTACTATGATTTAAAACTAAGAGGTCTCCCAGCGGATGTGAGTCCGATTTTGGGCAAATAAGGGTTAATCGATGGCAAATTTGATTAGTAAGAAATTTACGAAAAGTAAAATTGGCAAATGGGCACGTTTGGCAACGATATTTGCATCCGAAGAGGAGAAAACGCGCCTTAAAGTTGATTAATTTTACACTTTACCCATTTTATTTTCCCCACGGCTCAACGAACAATGAAGATCTCGCAGATTTTGAGCAAACTAGTGTCAATCGATCACAAATTTGATTAATATGAAATTTGCGAAAGACACGATCTCAAAATGCTCAGATTTGGCAAATATTTGCATCAAAAGAGGAGAAAAGGATGCAGTAAATTTGGAAAGTGTAAAATTTGTAAACTTTACTGCGCGCTTTCTCCTCTTCGGATGCAAACATCTCTGCCAAACGTGCCCATTGGGAGATCGTGTCTTTTGAAAATTTCATATTAACCAAATTTGTGATCGATTAACACCAGATTTGCCCAAAATCGAATTCGCCTCCGCTGTGAGACCTCCATTATTTTCCTTGCGTATAACGGTATGCATGCACGTTATTTCCACTCTGTTTTGGTGCAAATTTCACTTGACTGATTTCCTTCTTCGCGTGGTGTGGAAGTCCCTGGATGAAAATAAACAACTTTGAACTTCTTGGGAGAACCACTTTGAAGTTGAATACGCTGGGTTGTGCTTGCTTGGTGTTGTGTCTTTCATCATCAGGAGCGAGAGAGATATTACAGCGGGGAGAAAATTTGCAACAGTTTCGCCAAGTGAGAGAGCTCTATTCAGTTCAGAGTGGGAAACTTTCTCCAAAATTTGCTATGTACATACCGCAGATAAACTAATCTTTAGAGGCAATTACCCTTTACCACCAAGTTTGAAGAGTGATCCTGACAACGGACGGAGTGGAGAGACAACAACCGACTCGATATATTTACAAACTCCGTGGAATGGAAGTTGTTCAACAAGAAATCAAATCAATGTTTGCAAGTAAGGAGAAAGTGAAAGAAAGTAGACGGGGAATCTTTCAGGTTGTGAAAGAATGTCGGGGTGACAAGACAATGCAAATTATTTGGCGAAATAGTTAGTTACACTTGTTGGCCCACATATTTTGCATGAAGATACACTGTTAGAAATCTGGTAGAGTCACATAGATACTCCGTGCTGGTATTGATTTGGTAATAATTTCCTATCGGATTGGTAGTAAATTGTTCGTTAGTGGTAAATTTTGCATGACCACGACATTACTGAACGGTAATTCCCGTTAATACCAGTGCCGGTAAAGTCACATATGTACTATTTAATACCAGTATTTTAAGAGTGTATAGTCAAGGCAGGTATTGATGTCTCGGTATTAAAGTTGGTACCGTTTGGTATTAAAATTATGTATACTTGGTCCGTACAAAATTGCTGTAGACATGGTAAAACTTTAATACTTAGCTATTACTACACGGTATTACTTATCAATATGTACCACTTTGGTTAAAGTCATATATGAATACAGCCTGGTATTATGGTAATACTGGATTTCTTAAGAGTGTATTGACCCAATTTACGCAGTGCTTGATAACTTCGTAAACAATATCGGTAAAGTTTGTAAAATAATTTTACAAGGTTTAATGTGTACAAAGTTAAGGACGCCCTTGAACTGAGGAGTAAACTTACTTAAAATTTGGAAGCTAATTTTCCTTCAAAATATTTGCAGAAGTTTGTAAGTTTACGGAACGGATATTACAAAGTTACAAATAAATGCGTGAATTGCTTCGAAGAAAGTTGACCCCATTTCACGCCAGCGTTTTTTATAAGAGTAAGTTATGAATTACATTATATACGAATATATTGGATTGTGCGACTATAAAAGTTTGTAAGTTTACAAAGTTACGAAGGACTGCGTGAATTACCTCGTTATTTAATGCGACGTATAGACCAGATGCCTGTTTAGACGTTGATATTCAGTTTGTTCCAAGAAATTTAAACTTATGTATTACGCAATTTGGGAAAATTGCTCTGTTTACTTTTATGTATAAAGAAGAAGAAAAAAAGAGAATACGCAAGTTAATTTGTTCCTGTTCTTGTCAGTCGTTGAGAGATGAAATCAGTGGCCGCGGAAGCCGTGGGGACGTTAAAATTGTAGAATAGGGAAAGGAGGGATTTATAATAGATGATGATGGAGACATCGAACACCCGTAGGAACATTGTCCCTCTGTCCCCACGCTTCCGCGGCTACTGGGTGAAATCACGATGGGACGCAGCAGGACATTAATGCCATCTTGTTTGTCGTGTTCATTCCGTCATTGTGATAATGATAATGGCGACAGTAATAATTTGACAAGAAGACGAGGGTACGCACTAGATGACAAAAAAACTGGCCAAGTTAAACAATATCTGTTTATCTAACAAGTTGTAGGAACAAGTAACAAGTGAAGCTAAAGTGAAAGCACGGAAAAACAGGGTTTTTTTTCACAAACGTGATGTTTTTCTAGTACTTAACTTAACTTACATACATACAAAACTACTTATGTAGGAATAGGATTAGTAGATAGACGAGGATATACTTTCACTTTAAGGGATGAGCAGATATCACGTGTTTGTAAAGTTTTACTAAAAAATTATATAGTTTTTTGTAACGTTTTGCGCAAAGATTTTTGAAAATCGAAATTATACAGTTTTTTATCCCGAATTGTGTAAGGATTTTTGAAAATTCAATTTTTATCCGGATCCTATACGTTTGCTCTGATTTTTGCAGTATTATTTAACAGCGTCGGCTGCTTTTTGTGACCGTTTTGTCCGTCCGTCTGTTAGCAGGATATCTTCAGAACGCCTAAACATAGTCAAACGCCGCGGATTTTGCTATTGTGCCTCTAATTTTTAGTTCTCTGTCGACTTAGAAAATGACGTTTTTGCGGTTAAGGTCAAGGAGGTGACCCTGGCGTGAGGTCAAAGGTCAA